AGTTTTGAAGTCCTTTCTACCTAGGATAGCATGCTAAGTCTGAAAATACCATTTACCACTCTCTGCTAAGGACAAAACCCCCAGTGTAATGCCATACTACTGTTACAGGGGCACAAGCAAATGCTGCTGGTTCTGTAGGGGTGTGATGATGGCTGATAAAATAGGATAGGTTCTAAACAATACACTCTTTGCATCTTTCCTAGTGCAGGAAGTGCTTTAAACATATCTATGCACCTTACTTGTGCTTTTAGAATATTCTATCTTGACTGCTAGGTTTCAGGGAAGGCAGATACTGAGGTGGCTGGTGGGGGGTCAAGAAATGAACTAAATCCTGAATCTTAAAGATAACCCTGTTACATGAGGCAAATGATGAATGTCAGAGCTATTGTGCCTTATTGCTGCTGTTTTTTTTTAGCTAAGGGTTGCTTTTGTGAAAATATGTTTGTCGTTGTTCCATGGCAAAGCTGAAACAGCAGCAGATAACAAATAATGTCTAATAGAGTAGGAAAAAGGAGGCAATTAGAGTTAAATGAGGACAGGCAGTTTACATATATTTTGGAAACGAGTAGGTGCTAACAGTAATCAAAATAAAATGAAAAAAAGGCAGAAAGAATGAGTTGACAATGTAAGAATGTTATCAGAAGGCACAACTGAAGGACTGCAGTCCTTTCTTGGAGCTTTTTTCTTTTGATTTGTTTTTATAAATTTGCATAAATGCAAAGGGAAAGTGAGTAAATAGATTAAACCTCGTTTACAGACAATACCAGGACTTCCTTGAAGATCTGGAAGAAGATGAAGCCATAAGGAAAAACGTCAACATTTACAGAAGTAAGGCCTCTTTTACGATTGAATTGCATGTAATTTGATCATAACTATTTGAGTAAAAATATTCTTGCTGAAGCCCTGTATTTGGATCTTTGAACTGCTCATTCTTGGAGTAATGCTGTAATGTAACAGCATGAGGTATCTCACTTGCACTGAGTGATGCTCATGTCGCTTGCTTACCTTTAACATAAGATAAAAGCCTTTTTCCTGGACTTTCAAGACCTGTGCTGGGTAAAAAACATGATGATTAACTTGGCATCTTCCAAGAAGGCAAGCATTATTCTTTGGAGTTGGATTTTATGGGGGAGTTTGTTTGCTTGTTGCTTATTTTCAGTCACTTGGGGTTGTTCAGGTTGCTCTGGTTTTCGTTTCTTTTGCTTAGCTGTTCAGGTTTTTTTTTGGTTGATGTTTTTTTAATTGATTTTTTTTAGATGCAGACGTTCCAGTGGAGAGTGACACAGATGATGATGGGGCCCCTCGGATCAGTCTGGCTGAAATGCTGGAGGATCTCCATATTTCTGAGGATGCCACTGGTGGGGAAGGAGCAAATATGCTGACAGAATAAGCATAGTGCATTAAGCAGTGCAGTTAGTATTTGCCTGGGGAGGAAAATGTACCCCATATAAGCAAACATTATGAACTGTGGTAATGTTGTATCTACAGCCATACCTCTAAATCACATTTCTGAATTGATATTTCATATATAATTGTCTAGAAGATCAGTGACTGCAGTTAAGCTTCTGTGCAAACACTGTCATATGAGTTCCACATGTTCTTCTCATCTCTGAGTGTTTTCTCCTTGCAACTTCTTGTAAGGTAAAGACCAGGCGACTAACTTCAGTTGTGTCCACTGAGAATATTAATTGTTCTGCACCTAAGACTGCTAATAAAGCAAAATGTCCATCAGGAGAGATTTTGTTCTGGTTTGCTACACTTGTAGGTACAATACCTTACCTACTCTTTATTGTTTTCATTTATTTACCTGAAATGGATTTTTCCTGTCTTAATCTTTTTGGCACAACGCTTTGTTGAAGACTTTCATTATGATGACAGTTTATTCCATATAACAGTATTTTGGGGAGGTTTAAGAGTTTTCTGATGCTGTCAATAAGGGAATTCCAACTATTTCTGTTATGTACACAAAAACGCTTTGTTGTAAATTGATTGAACACACAGCCCACAATCAGAAAGATTTGAGACTTCTTTTAAATGGTAATGAATATTGTATTGTACTGTATTTCATGCTTGCATCAGTGGATTAAATGCAGTTTGCATAATCTCTGATTAATACGCTGAGAGATACTGTACATAAAGATTTTTTTGTCTCAAAGTCTGCCTGAGTTTTCGCAGGTAATAAACTGGTTGGACAACAATTGACTTCTCTTTGTGTCTTAATCTCACTCCAGATATATACCATGAATCACCTCACCTCTGATAACTGGAGCAAGATATACACCCAGTATCAACTGTGAAAAAACTATACAAATGTTTTTGTTCCATCATTATTTAAGTAAATGTTAAAATGAAATTTATCTCTGCTGTAAACCCAGATAGAATATAAGCATTATACTGGAACATTACGTGCTGATGGTGTGTTAAAACTTCTGGTTTTAATTCTGTTGACTGAACTGGTGGTGTGCCATAGAAGGCAAGGGGGAAAAAATGAAAATGTGGAAGGTCAGCTTTGATGTAGTAAAATTCTGAGCCTGCCATAGGCATTGCTAGCAGCTCAGCCATCCTGCAGAACTGTCTTTTATCGTGTAGTTGGGTCACACTAAGCTCTCCTGCATCCTCCTTGAGGAGCTTTGTCATAGTTTTTATTATGAAGAAGAACAGTCGTGAGAAATCCATAAAGTTGCCACAAAGTGAAGGAGCAGTTTATCTCGTGACAGTAGTTCAGTATAGGAAAGGTATGAAGCATTAAAAAAAAAAAAGAGAATACAGCTGCACAGCTAGCCTGAATTATCACTGCAACAAGAATGGTTTGGGTGTGTTGATTTTTTTAACATATTTTACTTCTATCTGCACCTGCCAGTAGTGGTGGGGAAATTGAGATAAGCTCAAATCTAGTGACTCTTGGGCCAGATCTATGGAAATGGAAGAACTTTAATTAGCCATAACATATAACAGCCAGTCTGTTCCATGACTGGATGAGATGTGTTCTGAGTTGTGATTTTTCTGACAAAGGTAAAAATGATCAAACCTTTCTTGGACATGCTTTGATAATAAGCTTCCTGTTGGCAGCGGAGAGGGAGTTGTAATAAAAACCTGTTTTAAACTCTGCTGTTTTGATCAACTCTCTTCCTCCCTAATGTTTTCTTTCATACTAGCTCTCAGTAATGTCAGACGGATTGCTGTCTTATCTGTCAATCTGCTTGTTATTGGAGACGTCTGTCTTCTTTGTCCCCCTATGGTCTGTTACTGGTCTGTATTGGATTTCAAACATCTTTCAGCAAGTCTTGTCTGGAAAGATGTTTAGGTATGGGTGCTAGACAAACAAGTCATAAATCCGAGTCTATTGTTTGCTAGCTGGTAACACATAGTAACAGCTCTCCAAGGGTGCCTAAGCTGTGTGTGTACTTGAAACCCAAGTTAGCTCTCATTTTAGGTTCTCAAATTTACGGCGTTCCTTTAATATGTCAACAGTTGGGAGCCAGAAGAGGCTCAGATGGTGTACGGCCAGTGAAGGCAAGATCTGCTCAGTGACACCGGATAAGTAATGTGATAAAAGGTACTTAATTCACAGTAGAGAAAAGGCTGCTATGTAACCTGCATCTCCTGAAAATCTCCATCTGTGGATTAAGCCACAGTTTAAAGAGAAAGCTCCTTATTTTATACAGCAGAGAAGGTGCTCCAGGATTCGAGTCATAACTTCTTAATGGTTTGCATGCAGCTTCAGATGAATTTTGAATTGGAAGAGTTGAAATATAGCATTCCTCGAGTCTACCTGGGGAGGAGAGTGTTTGCTTCTGAGATGTGAATGTTATACACATATGCATACAGCTATACATATATGCATGTACAACAGAGTATGTGTGATAGCAAGTACCAAGCAGTAGCAGTGTGTACAGTAATTTATGGATAGCAATACAGACTTAAAAGGGTTGTTGGTATCTGAAATAGTTGTGATGGTTGTGTGCTTGCCACATGTGGTAAGCTAGTAGAAGATGAAAAAGAAAGAATACTTTTAAAGTATTTAGGGAGGAAAATAAAGGCATAGCCAGCTGAAGCGATTCTGTTTCAGCAGAGAAGAAAAGTTTTGTCCTTCAAAACAGCCGATGTGTTGTTCTTTCAGAAGGAAGGCTTTCACAATGAGAAACCAAATAAGCTTCTTACAGACTTTAACCCCTGTCACCCTAATCCTCCTGTTTAGAAAGACTTACTTGAGCTAAGGGAGTTTCATGTTTTCCCCCCAGTCAGTTACTGAAGGGATGAAGGGAGACAAGGAAAATGAAAAACTAGATTTAAACCTTCTGGGGTTTTTATTGTTGAATTTGCATTTAGTTTAATTACTGCTGGGGGGTTCAGTTCCCTTTGTGAATGCGCACAGTACTTCCTGTCAGCACTCAATGTATTACCATGATTCTTGATCATTTAAACACAAGTCAGAGTTCTTCTATCAGAAAACAAAGCTGTTGTCATAGGGATTATTCCAGTCTGTGTCCTAAGGAGCTACCAAGGGCTGGCAGCAGAAATTTCCTTTTCTCCTTTGGAAGTTGTCAGAGAAGACTTGAGATGTTCTTGTGATGAATGTGGTAGTCCACCTGATGTCACTATTCCTTCGTGTTAATGGAAAGCAGCAGCCTGTTCACTTGTAACGAAAAGTCAGCAGAACTTGGTTCAGTTCTTGCTCGTGCCAGTGTGGTTCCTGATGCGTTATTTTGAACCTAAATGAAAATAGCACCACCTTAACGGAAAATAAGACAAAAGCTTTGATCGAGATGCTTAAGGACTCCTGGCAATCTGCTCCTTCTGCTGACAGATTTGCCTTTGCACTTTGCCATGGCCGCTTATTTTAGCTGCATGCTCCCAGAGCAGTTAAATATAGGAGTGAGACTTGTGTTGGGTTTCAGAGATTTTTGGCAATGTTTGCTGCAGCTCATTCCAGAATTTAGTCATGTAGCAATGAATACTACTATCAGAATTTACCTAGGTTTAAGTTTTCCATACTCAATCTTCATGAGCTTAGGATGGGAATCTGGTTAAAACAAGAGGCAAGAGGTAAGATTTAAAACTTGCCAGAATTTTCGTTCCATGCTAAAAGCAAAGCATAATCAGGAAAGAAAGGTGTCTTTATGTAGTTCAAATAATCGACTTTATAAAATGAAACAATTATGTATGACACCTACATCCACAGCTAATGCAATTTCTCACATCAGCTAAGGGAGTGCTTTACATTGCTAAGAACTGAAAGGACTTAAAGAAGAAAAACCAATCTGTGTTGAGGGACAAGTTTTGTAAGATAGAAGGAAACTCCTCAAGCTGTGAATTTTTTGGGTAGGCTGCTTGTATACTGCTTAGCATGGTGTGACTGGATGCTATATGCTTTATTATACATGCTCATTCGTTCTTCAGCCCTCAGTCATAAATTAAAGCTCTAGGTTTGTTAGAGATTTTTTTTCTTAAAAGATGAAGGCTAATATTCAAAATAATCCAGGCTTATGTCCTTTAGGAGCCTGGAGTGAAAATATTCTGGCAGCCAGATTTAGACACCGTGATGCAAAGGTTCCATGATGCCCTGTGGAAGCCATAGTTAGAGGTAAGCACGCAGATTGCCAGCACATCAAACACAGAGAATTCATCCCAAAGGCCCAGGTTTGTAGAAGCTGGCACACAGAGCCAGGAGGTGCCAGGGGAGCTAGCCTGGGAGAAGTGTTTGTAGGAGTGCCAGCAAGAGCAGTTGTGCTGGGGCAGCTGACCCAGCGAGCACACAGAGACAGCTGCTCCACAGCCTTCTGGAATCACCAGGTCCTGGTGCCTGTTCCTGTATCCACTGTGCTGAGCTCCCCGGAATGGTACATAGACAGTTTTGCCTAAGATGCAGTTCCAGCCAAAGGATGCATGTGCTCCAAGTAGGGTTTAACAGGGATTGTCTCCAGTGGAAATGGTGGAAATGTTGAAACAGCTGCTGTTTAACCTTGGCAGCCTCTGAATTCTGAATATAGCTTGTTTGTTTACCTTGGTGTCTTGACTGTTTGAAATTCTCTTTCCCAAAACACACTGCTTGCGCTCTGACAGGATGCAAGATGCATACAAAATCACCTGATCTGGAAAAATATGTTCAGGTTTTTAATACAATTTTAATAAGTAATCATAAATCATGTTCAGGTATTACACTGGCCTTTAATGCATCCCTTCATTACACAGATAAATAAGCCATGCAAGGGTGTATAATGGTAAGCAGCTTTAGTTGCCTTCAAGCAAGTTTTCCAAAGTCTGTAACAGAGCATGAGTACTCAGGTTCTGTTTTCACTTGTTTCTGAGAGAGAAGTGACCATTTGTATGGGCTGAGCAGCAGTTTAGGGCAATTCTGATTAAACATTTGGGAAATATCTTGTGAGGAATAGAATATGTTTGGGGCCTGTGGAGACTCCATCATGTGGAAGTGGTAAAGCCAGATAGTGCCAATAACAGCCTGAGTCCAGCGACCTTCTCTGGTAACAACATGATGGCATTATATGAACCAGTTTTTTTGTAGATTTTTAAGTTTTTTATATTGATGTACACCTTTAAAGTCAGCACATGTAGGATTGGACCATTTTAAAATGATGCTTCTCAACAGCCTATTTTAATTCACTGGATGGCATTCTGCACGCCTCTACATGAAATGTGCAGAGCAAAGCAACAAAAACCTTTGTTTGGTCTCTTAGCAGAATCATCCAAGAGCTGGTGCCCACCAGCAGAGCCCACAAGGATTCTCTAGCTGCTGACTGCTGCTTTGTGCACAGTTTGATGCTCGGTCCCTTGCACTCCTTGTCCCAGCTCCAACACACCTGTTGCCCCAAGGACTTGGCAGCTCTGGAGCTAAGTGTCTTGTGGTCCTCACGTACTGTGTGGGCCGGGTGGCTGCACTTGTGATTCAGTTAGGAAGCTACGCACCAATTATAAGATGAGGAGATAACAGGTCACTACAATCCCTTCGCCTGCACATAGTAAGAGAAAATGCTGTCTTAGTGGTACAAATGCTGCCTTAGTGGAAACTTTCAATACAAATTCTTCCTCTAACTGGCAAAACCTTCTCATCTCTCCTCCCGACAGCCTGAACCTCAAGCTGTTGTGCGGGGTGGATCACAAACCCTCCAATGAATATTTCAGTTCTACTTGCTGATTGCAAATTGATTTAAGCGAGGTCAGAGATCATGTGCCTGTTGAACATTCATGCACCTGTAGGCTCATTTTCTATTTTCCTGCCAGATGTGTCCTTGCAGAGAAGCATTCTCAGTGGGAGAGTTGCAGAGATCCAGCCTTACCCCTAGAACCTTCCATGTGTTGGAGAACTTCAGTGACAGATGTGAGTGTAATGCATGTCAAAAGGATGAGGTGTTTGGATCAGTCTTCCCTGTACTGCATGAATGTCTCCTCCTTTTAAGGCAGGCAGGTGCTAGCATTGAACTTAGCCAGAAAACATAATTCCTGAATTCATGTGGGATAGGCTGGAGATAAGCCCTCAATCCTCAGTTCAGGTAGGCAGGAGTTGTAACAACATATCTGTTTAGGCACCTTAAGTCTGGGAAATTGCTGGAAAGGTTTCCCTGAAAATACTTGTATTATGGAGATATCATTCAAGAAGTACTTTTCTACAACAAATAAGACTGTTAGTAGGCTGTTGCATGAAGTAGTTGCAGCTAAGCATTGAAGTTAGGCAGAAAGGTTCAGCCAAGCAAGACTGGCTAACTTAAGGTCAGCTTTATAAAAACATACAGATCTTCTGTGAACTCAACATCATTCTAAATACACATATGCAAGATGAAAAGGAGTACGTTCTGTGGGATGTATAGGCTAGAAAGTGCTGACAAGTTTGTCTTAGGAACAGGATTTTCAAGTCAGATAACAAATAGCTAAGATAAGAACTCAAATTACATTCGGATGTAAATAGTAGCATAGACAAAATGCTTATGTCATCATAGCAAAACCAATAAAAGTAACAATAAGGAACATGAACTTATTTTAGGCCTCAAAAACTGTTAGCAGCAGCAGTGGAAATAAAGTTCTGCACACACACACAAAAAATCTTTATCTTCATTGCCTTTAGGAGCTTTAAATAATTTGATCAATAAATTGTTTTATGAGAGGAAAGCTATGAAAGTCCTATAATAATAAACCTCCTAATACAAGGAATGTATTAGAGTTGTAATCACACAGATCACAGTGAGAAGCATAAGGTATTTGGATTTAGTAGGTCTTTATTATTTAGCTATTTGGTTTTACCTTTCTTGAACCAGCCCTACTAAGTTATGCCATTTAACCACGAGAAGCTGGTGAAGCAGAGCTGTGAACGGTGCTTCGTGTCACCAATTTCCTTTCTAGGTTGGAACTATTCACAAAGATGGGAATGACATTAGAATAGCTATATGTCAGAAACTAATTTTGTTCAATTAACGCTGCTTAAGTCCACATTTATGAATGCTAACATGAATTCATTTATTGACAGAAAGTCACTGAGCAAGTACATTCAGCATATATGAGTGTACACTGGGGTTAACAGCCTTGGGAGAAAACAAGAAGCACCTTTTATTCCTGCATCTGAACGTTAATAAAAACCTCCAAACAGCACCACCGCACAACCCTATCCTCCCCCATGCACACACACGCAAAAGCCCAACCCTCACTGACAGGTGTGCAGAATTAGTTACTGTCTCATGTGGCAGGCATTGATGTCAAGGAACTGATACTCACTTGTTAAGCAAGCAAATCTTCTGACATTAATGTTTAGGAGATTAATAAACCATCCAGCATCTAAGAACCAACCTTCTACTCGTGCAGACTGTGCACGTATGTATCTATGCACAAAAACTGCAGAGAACTGCCTGCATAGCTACATGGGAAAGCATGGGGGGAGTGCTGGTTTTTAATAAGGTATCCCTTGTGCCAAGTGTTCCTGATGCAACTGTTGTAGCAAAGATGCAGTGCCTGCACCTGCCATGCACCTGGTGGATAGCAGGGTAGCCAGGCAACCCATGGAACAGTTACGTGGTGCAGTACTTCTGATGGGGAGATCTGCACAAGTTTTTGTTGCTCTTTTCTGGAGAGGCAGTAGTATGCAGAGTTCAGCTGCCAGAAGGCTGTGGGCCAGAGCACAGATCCCAGCAGGGAGCATGCCCAAGCAGGTTAGTATTTTTGTTTGCGTTGTTTCAAAACAGCAATTACAAGGTGGAGTTTAAACATAGTATTTTAAATCTTACTCTGTAGTTAGGAGTCTTAGTCCCATGCAGGGAAAAGATTGTAATGAATAAAACTAATCAAGTATTTTTCATTCAGTTGCCACTTAGCTCTCTGTATCCTTCTGGTTTTCTGTGGTATCCATCCTCCCTCCAGCTCTCACAGCTGAGCTTTAGAGATCTGTGCTGTTCTTGGACAGAGCAAACTGCACTGCTGTCACTGCAGATGCCCAGGAGCCAGCCCATGTCACAGGACTGCAGCATGCAAATAGGACACCTGCACAGGCAAGATCCTGTGACAGCTATTGCAAGAGACACCAGGCAATTCGTGCAACCACAACAAACACAAGTGGGTTTACTCGGGGAAGACAAGGAAAGGGTGGCAACAAACAAAAAAACACAAACACACCCAGCATAAGTTCTAAGTTCTACAGCCAGATGTCAGATTCCTTAATGTCAACAAATACTTTGGATGTGTGTGTACAGTCTGCTCTTATCCAATGTAAATATAACTGTGTTGGCCTACTTACACTCTGAGATTTCTCTGCAGGTATATAATGCAATATCTGCATGTCTCTCAAGCATGTATGATGCAAAATACTACATTTACCTGCTTACATTATGGACTGATAGTCTTGCAACTAAAGGGTTATCCTGACAGATAGTCTGATAATTGACCAAACTATAATCCTGTTTCCCTCTTCTGCCCTTGAACTTCAGTAAAGGCATTCTGTCTCCTGTACATGAAAGCTGCTAGGAGAAAATGCAAGGTGTTTATCACTTTAGCCATTAGGTTACTTTAATAAAACATACGATCAGATTATAATTGAAAAGCACTAAATCAAAGTTCATTTGTTTTACAAATTTACTTGAGTGCTGTCGAAAGAGTTACAAGTTTAAACTCATCTGCCTTTGTTTTCACAAATAAGCTATTTTCATACTCTCCTAATCATCAGTTGGGAAAGTAACTGGACCTCATGGTGAGATGACAAGTAACATAATTAGTGTTTTCAGTTTGTTTTGTCACAGCCTGTGACCAAATGGGATGGACTAGATGAGGTTGGACATCTTTTCCAGCCTTAATGATTCTATGATTCTATTAAATCCCAGTTTCTACATTGTCTGATTACCACTTATTGAGAGCATCCTGTTGTCTTAAAGGTGAGGATATTCTAGGAGCATCACTATGCTCAAAAGACAGAAGAAAACTCACTTCAGTGTGGGTGAGAGCAGAGCTGGGCTGTCACCCTGTATGCACTGTTGCTGTGCTGTGGGCATGGTGCTGAGCACATGTTCTCAATGTAATTGCATTGGCATTTCATTTCTGGCCAGCTTTGGTCAGTATCCACTCTAACCAGCTGGCAGCACAACCATATTGTGCATTCAAGACTGAAGTTTAAAAACCCTGGACTTCAAAACAAAGCCAATTATGGGATGTCCACCACGTTAGCTACAAAATCTGAAGTCTCAACAGTTCATGTGCCAGAAACAAGTAAGTGGAAAGAGTATAAAACATCCCGACTCCAGCTGAATACATAGTTTAATGTTTTGCATATGCCATGTATGCTTTACTGATCTTTTAAAATAATAACAAAGTCCAAGAAAATAAGATTTTATTTAAAACATTTACGGAAGGAAATCCTCACATTTTCAGTAAATCAACTGCATTGTTTGCATAATGATGAACTGGACAAATAATTCACTGCATTAAATAACGGAGTCTAAATAAATACTAAAGTAATTGTATAAATACATACATATCAAGCTTAGAAAAGCAGCCTATAGTTGCATAGTTTTGTACAAAACCTTTCATGTACACATCTTCCCTGTCAGCAAGGCTGTGGCAGACAAGAACAAATATATGCTGTATAATTTCCCAAGATAAAAACTCTCCGTATCCGAACAGCTCTCCCTGGAGTAACAAAACATGCAGCACAGTTGCTTCCTTACCAAACCCAGCTTTGTAACTCCAGTCAGTCTTTAAACCTGAAAGCTCTTTAAAAGGCACTGTCAGATGATAAAAACGAGGACTGATTGAAATTGATTTGGCAAAATAATTTGCTGTCACAGAGTCCCAGAATGCAGAAGAAAACGAAGAGAGTAAAACAGTGTTTGCACACACCCTGAACCTGTCTCTCTAAACAGAAAGTGTTGAGAAAAACACTTCTTTGATCCAAAAGTTATGTCAGGTTGCCAATGTTACTTCACAACAGAAACAGTATTTTCATGTTGGCTTCCAAATAAGTGCAAGCAGAATTGAAAAGCCATGCTAATGTGGACAGGGAAAAAGATGTAAGCAGTGTATGCTAGCATCACTAACATAGTAACGTTGAAAGTGTAGAAGAGCACTTTTTCCCAGGGCTCCATGAGGTAGCTGCAGGTGATTAATTCAAACTGGCAGAACAGCCAATAAAGATAGTTCTTCATGCTCTTAATATCCATCTTCAACTCTGAGCAGCTTCTGAAAGCCTTCCCTATTACAAGAAAGGATAGTTAGGAGAAAAAGAAACCTTTAAAAGAAAAAAAGCAAAAAAATAAAACAGCAATTCCATTTTATCCAGGCTGCCCATGGTGACCAGTGTTAGCAAATATTATAAAAGCACAAGAAAACTAAAATCCAGAGTCCACAAACACATTTTAAAGCACAATTCATGACCAGATAGAACTGGTCTATAGAATAGATAGAATACATAATAAGACATAATATAGACATATAATAAGACAGATAGAACAGACTATCCCATGCAAAGTTCCATTTGTACTCCTTTTGCTCTTTCCACCTTCTCTTCTGAATAAGAGAGCCAAATTCAGCCCACCCTATAAAGGGCGATTCCTTAGGACACTGCACAGTATCTTTTTCCAGAACTCTGTTACCTAAGAATTATTGCAAGTCCACTTTCCAAACCAAATTACTTTCATAACTTTTCCTGGCAATGGATTATTTCAGGTTCCCTTAAGGCAGCCTAATTCAGAAAGCACTCATAGCTCTCTCTCCACTAGTCATGGATTCTGAAGTAGAACTTGGCTAGAAGTCTGATTTCTGTCACTGCAGATGGAATTTGAAGTCTTATGATTCAGTTGTTGTTGGAAGTGTGCAGAATAACACACATA